CTGAACCAATTTAAGAAAAATCCATTAACAAATGGAGATCACCTGATTAATTACTTTTGATCACCACTGGTGTGTAGAGTCTTGTCTGCTCTATATAAAGACAAATACCATGACAGGAAGACAGATTAAAAGACGCATTATATGAAATTAAAAAACCCAATGGTTTATCACAGTTGTTAAAAAGATAAATGCCATTTTTGTTGTTTAATACTTTATTTTAATATGGCTCCATCCATCCATTTTCATCCGCTTATCCGTTACCGGGTCGTGGGGGCAGCAGACACAATACCTCTGGGCCAAATCATTAATTTAATATGAAAATAATGAATTGGTTTGAGGTCAAATTAAGGTCATGACCTTGTGTTTAAACATTTTTTTCAAACATTAATGCAGCAAATTAGATTTTTGATATTTTATTCTATTCCTTACATGAAAAGTTTATTTTATATTGCAGTTAAAACTGTTTAAAAGAACAAACCTAGCAGTTTTTCAGCAAATAGTAGAAAAATGAACACATCACAGAAAACTTTGTTTCACCTAAGCCTGCAGAACAGAAGGATGTGCAAGTGGGATTACTTAGAAAGGTTGAATGTTGCTGTAGCTGACGGCAGCCACTGATAAATATCTGACAACCAGATTGGTTCAGAGCAGAGTTCCCTCTAGAGGAAAGAGACTGATGTGCGCGGAGCCCAGAATCCTCACATCTACAAATCCAGTATCTGTAGCCCACACACTTGTCCCCTACATGTGGAAATATGATTTTTTTTTTTATTCTCCTCAATTCAGTGGGCTCATATGTCTTTCTCCATTACGTGAGCAGGGTCCATAGAATTAGCTGTGTATGTGTAGTGAAAAGGTCATGTTCAATACCTTCTCTGTTGTCCCTTTCAATCCAGCCCTTATTCATCTTTAACGGTGTCTCTGTGTACAGACAAAACACACACACACACACACAAATGCATGGTTGATTTTGTGTACACTCCAATGATCCGTGTTCATTGTGAGAGCAGGAGAAATCGATACCCGGGTGCCAGTGAGTGACAGGCAGCTCAGTAGTATCTACAGCAGGTGTTTGGATTGAATTGATGTTCTATGACTTTTAACCTTTTCATTGACTTTAATTGGGTGGTGTTTGAGTGGGCTCTGATGTTGTCCCTGTCATGGAGCTGCTGCTTAGAGGACACCGAAGAACACACATACACAACCACACGGCGTGGGATTTATCATGAGAATGTGAAACTGAGGTCGCACGCACACACACAGTACACTAGCCTAATGGTTCCAAACCTGGAAGTCAGACCTGTCTGTGATGATGGAAGTGGAAAAAGCAGAGGTGTGAGGAGGACAGACGTAAATAGATGTCTCACTGTTGGACAACTCTGTGAAAGGACTGGCAGGTATACACTCTCGGAGAGGTTTACTACCTTCAGACTTCCAACTCAGAGACAATTATATGTGTATTTTAAACACACCATGCGTTTTACGCTCTTAGTCATTGGCTATTGTATGCCAACTTGGGCAAAAGTAGATATTACAAAACAGGCATAGGCAAACTATGGCCCGCGGGCCGAATGTGGCCCTTTTGGCTTTTTAATCTGTGCAGTTCGCACATTCACTATTAGATTGTGTAAAAAAGGCTAAAAGAATTTTTGCATTTATGCATGACTTTTACATGTCATTTATCTCACACGAACGCTCCATCTAACTGCTCCTGACCCGTCTGCCCTGTTTCAATTTTAGGACCAATTCTTTTACTAAGTGAAGCCAGATTTCCAGACAGAGGATGTTGGTGTTGTTAAGCTGAGCAGATGTGCAACAAAACAAACATCAACAAATCTGGCCACAGGCTTCAGTAAAATGATGAAGGTCTCAGATCTGTGTTCTGAGAGTGCACACAACCAGTCACACCAACATTGCTGAACTGGAAACATTATCTTTGAATATTTCTCACAAACATTCTGCCTCCATCTGATCCACCTGCTCGTCAAATTTGAAACCTCATTATGGCCCTTGATCAAAAACGTTATGATCTAAACCTTACAATTGTAATTATGGCCTATTACAGATTAGTATGTTTCCAGACAGTGAATACAATATAACAGAACACACTTGAATTTATCACGTTTGTTGCATTTCAGTTATAGTTTAATCATCGTTGATTTTTAAAAGTTTTTTGAAGATGCACACTTCTGGAGTTGGTACATTTTAGGAGTCATTTTTTTCCAGTTTACAGGTTGAAATTATGCACAACCTGGTATTTTGTTCTGACATTTTGGAAGTAATTGTGTTCAGTAATAGTTAGAAAACCGTGGGAGAATCAAATTCTTCTGGAATTCTGATGCTCATCAAATGAACTTTTGTTCTGACCTGTAAAGAACTGAACTTTGACTAAACTATCTTAACATGGCAATTATTTTAAACAGAACTTCGTGATTGGCATTTTTTTCACATTTCCTTCTGTTTCACCGACATTCATATAAAGTTGTCAACCAGTTAGCATGCTACAACTCGCACTTCTGTCTATTTCTGTCTGCTTGTGTAAATTGTGTGTGTGTGTGTAGGTCTAGCTGATTGACGCAGCGTGTAAGAGATATTTTGGTACAGCCTGCTGATCTGATTGGTCCTAAAGTGACACTTTGAGCATATTGGACCCAGATTTTGACAACTGCCGTGGGAGCAGGGTCTTATCCGCACCATTCTCTGACAGACTGCATGGAACCATTGTATTTTTTAAAAAATGCATTATGTTTATGTAGAATAACTCTTCACACCATCCAATCCCATTGCCAGGGTTCAGATCAGAGTTGATGGTTGCATTGACTACTCAGCTGTCCAGAAACTCTGTTATGTCCTCACTATTGTAAGCGCTTGGAATTTCAGCTGCATTCATTAGCTGCAAATCTAAAATTAAACACCTGGACAGAAGATCTACCGCACAGACATAAAAATGATGGACCAATATAGACTGTTAGTGCTGAGCCTCTCTGCACGTGGTTGTTTTTAGTTAGATATTGTAACTCTACTTTCTATACTCCTGCAGCAGTTCCTTTAAATGTATCTGATAAGACAGCACCATGAGCATAAACAGAACAGGAAGCTACTGTACTCTGTCCCTGCGTAGATTAGTCTTCCTTCACAGACAGGCTGCCCTTCCCATTTGATCCAAGACCAACTTTAAGAATCGAATCAAGAAGAATCAATCTTTTCACACACAGATAAGCTGAGCTCAGGCCCACGGGTGTGGAGGAAGAAGAAGAACTAGACATTACAGATATAATGGCAGTGAGAGGGAGAGGACAGAGACGTAGATAATGTCTTGGACCTCGGGTCATGTTGGAACATCTGCTGAGAAACTTAGTAGAACAGTACATACCAGTAAATTATCAGTATATCAAAGAAACATCAAAGTGAAAGAAAAAGTCAAAGTGTAATGAGTTTGTGTGGAGGAACGTCTGAAGCAAGAATCAAACAGGTGGTAAAAACGAACAGGTCCGCGATAATAACTGAAGCAACTGATGTGTTTGAGTTGGTGAGAAGTCACTTAGCGCTCACTGGTGTATTGATCTGATTCTCAGGTCTATTAAAGAGCCACAGAGGAAATGTACCCTGAGAAACAAGATTTCTGTTTGCCATAAGTTAAGATAAGTTCATATTTTCAAGGGTCGTACCTATGAAAATACCCAGAATATCCTAGATCTATGTGTTGATCGTCTGTGGAGTTTTGTAGATGGCGTGAAAAACGACATGGCATGACGAACTCTCCCCCTTTTTTTTGCCTCATTTCACTTTTCTCACTCTGCCTCTCCAACAGTCTTCTGTACATCCTTCATGTCCTGCAGCTGTGAAGCTTCATCTCACCTTCCTCACCTTTCAGCTGCAGAAGCATGACGTGAGATCAGTCACAACCGAAGTGTTTCAAAGTATAGACTCTACAACGAGACAACTTTACTGCACTGACAGCAAAAGCTTCACCTCTCTGAGCTATATAAGCAATATACTCTCCTAAGATTCACGGTAGATGCACTTTTTTCATCCTTTGGCTGGGTTCGCGACTTTTACTTAGGTCCGACTTATACATTGAAATATATAATTTCACATGTTCGTATTTTCACAGTGACAGCCGATAGAGGGCACTCTAGGCTTGTGTACTGGTATCTGCTACTCCTGTATCACTGGAGTTACATGTTTGTTATTTTCACAGTGACAGCCGCTAGGTGGCACTTGTGCAACTTCACATACAATACAACTTCAATACAATATCTGCGCTCGGTCCATTTCTATGTGGACCAGTGAGTCCCAAAATAGACAACATCATCTACAAATACAATTATTTTGTTATGAATTTTCCAACTGTGGAACAAATTAAGATTTATCTTATTTTAATCAACATTGGTTAGTACAACAAAATCTTTTTTTCTGAACGTTGACAAATAACAGCAGGTAGATGTATGTGTTTCACACCTGTTTTTATTGGTGACTAAATCAAAAGACAGAAGACGTATTTGGAGTCCCAAGATACACCATTTAAAAATAAAACAACTTTTTTGGAAACTTGGTTTCCATGCCATCATAGCTTCATTTTTCCCTGTCTTGTTTCCTCCCAGTGACCTGTACGACTTCTACCACTACTTCTACATGGTGACCAACGTGCTCTTCTACGTCAGCTCAGCCATCAACCCAATCCTCTACAACCTGGTGTCGGCCACCTACCGCCAGATCTTTTTCTCCACACTGCGCTACTTCTTCATGCCTTGCAGACACCCGCCTAGGAGGCGCCCCTACCCCCTGACCCGACACTCCATCAGCATCTCCAGCAACCACACGCTCTCCACCAATATCATCAAAGAGACGGCCTACTGATCACGGCTGGATTGGAGGAAACGGCTGTACGGGAAAGACGAACTGCTGCTACTTTGACTTCACTGAACTCATTTTAATCTGGAGTCAGAGTCATTAAGTCAATCCTGACCCAGAGCTTTGGTCACATGACACTTCAGTTGTGGTTAATTGTATCAATGTGAGGCATGCTATTTTCTTGTTAAATCTATAAAGAATTGACATAAATTGAGATAAAGAAACAAATAAAGAATATAAATATATAAATGGTTTGTACAGAATATTACCAAATATATGTCTTTATGTGATTCTGACGTTGACATTTGCTTGGTGCTGCATCACTAAAATCACTTTTTGTTTCAATGTTTATAAAAATAGGAGAATATGTTTAAAAAAGACAATATAGTAAAAAGGTTATACTGCAATATGCAACACCACAGCATTTTCATTAATGGCGGTTAACTTTCCCAAAATCTGCTGACTTCAACGTTTAAATATTTGTCCTGGTCCTTTTTATATATTTCCTTGAAAGAACAGTCATAGAACAGAAAGCAGATTTCATTTTTGTCGACTCTTGCACGTAGATTTTGCAGCATTTCCAGTAGTGTTTTCTGTGACATATTTGTACATTCAGAAGAGTTTTTTTTTCGTGTTAAAAGCTAAACAAAATACAGTACAATCTTTAATAAGAAATGGCATAATTTAACATTTAACTGGGAACAGCGCCCTCTGCTGGAGGGCTGCAATGTACGCGATATCCTGAACTGTAACTGTATGATTGTTTAATTAGATTCAAACAACCAGTAACACATTGTTACAACATCGTCATCTTAACTCAGGACAGCACAACTTGATCTAAACAGTAAATATTTTGAATGTATAGATTGATTTTATTGACTATTATGTTTAACAAATATACTTTTGCATATATCACTTGTGTATAATCAACGATTGAACACTGACAGTTCCACAGCGTTACATTTTTGACACTGGTAATGCGAGTGCCTGCAGATGGACTCGACCTTAAGGAAGAGAAAGAAGGTTGTGTAATGTGAATGATCTTTTCAACTTCTGCTGAAAAACTTTGCTGCAACCATTTTTAAAGACCAATGAGTCAGAAAGACTTGTTGACGTTTATGTGTCAGTGATGTTTTTCTGTTAAACTTGAAAGGATGTTCCTGTACATAGCCGAGATCTATCAAAAGTTTCAATGAACTGAGTTACAAACACTGCAGTATAATGTTTTGAGGACCCTGGGGCATACAGCACTTGAGAACAATATGAAGAATTATTGACTTTGTAGAGCCCTTTGTATATCATCGTATAGAGTTGCTATGGCTACAGTACAGTCTGTTGATGGAAGAGCATGCATTAATCAACTCCAAGTGCATTCATTCATTTGTTTGCTTCAAACAATTTAAGAAGTAATGTGATGTTCTTGTGTTTTAACCACTTAAAACCTATCCTTAAATAAAGATTTAGTTGTTTATTCCGTAAGTAATGTCATTATCAAAAGACAAGAGGACAAATGATCCATTGCAGCCTGTTGAGTTGTATGGCTGTTGTGGAATCAGCCAAGCAGTTTTATACTTAACCTAATGTTTGGGGGGTTCAAAATGTCATTACAAGTGCAATGCAACCATTAATCTTATACAGACTCTGGATGTTTATTTCATTGCTTAAATAAGTTTCATGCATTTACCTTTAATTATAGCACAAAGTTGGTGTTGGTGTTTGTCTGTATAAAACGAGCTGTCCCAGTAATGACCATAATAAACCAAGTGATCCTAAGCCCCTAAATGCTGATTGGACTGGCATACATAATAGCTGCATACCTGCTTTCACACCAGTCTAACATAGATGCCCACTGTGTAGGTCTACATGTAGATCACAAAGGGAGTGCTGGTATATCATAAGCAATTTAAAACAAAATAACCACGTACTGTAAGAATTGAATCATTTGGGCCACAGAGCTACATGTATTAAATCAGAACCCCAACATATAATGTACATAAAAAAATCTTTATTTTACAGGAAGCCATTTTTATTTCTCACTTTAGCCATTAGTCTTTTTATTAGTAGCTCCAAAGCCAAAAAACACAGTGATTATGCTCAGAGGTGCCTCATTAGGCAATGATTGATATTGCTTTGCACTTGTCATGATATTTTGAGCAAATTAAGCCCTTTGAATGTACAACATATACTGTAAGTTACTGGCAATTAACAAAAATTCCATGGTTGGATGGAATGACATGTATTGATTCAAAGTGCAGTTCTATTTGTGTTGGCAGTAAAGACACTGAATCTGCCATTAAAAGTATTTTTGAAGTATTTGTACATACTGTAGCAGTGTCAGTGGTGACCGTGTTGATTGTTCATTCACCTACTGTACTTTGAGATGTAGATGTTAAACTGTAGAGGTTATCGTTGTGATGTTAGTGGCGATGTTTTCATTTGCAGTGTTTAGATCTGAACATTGTTTTGTCAAACAGCAAACTGAGCCTTTGAAAAGTGGAGGCACTTTGTATTTTTCTAAACGGCCACCAGGGGCTAAGTAATTATTTTGCATGTATGTGTATATGACATTTCTACTTGCGTGTTATCTGGTGTTTTACCTTATTGGTATTGCATGCTAATCTTATATGGTTGTTAATTATTCACTCATGTCTGTGTCAGTTGGTGTATTTTGTTTGATTTAAGAAAATACAGTTACAGTTACACTGCCTGTTTGCATTTGTTCCTCAAGTTCCAATCGGTTCTGCTGACTCACATGACACTTGATTACTCACTTATAAATGTTGACATTATTGACCACCATACTCTAAATGGATGTAACAATGGATGGGCAGTGGTGGCTTAACACTTAAGGCAGCGGACTTGGGTCTGGAAGGTTGCAGGCTGCAGGTTCGAATCCAAGCCAAGTTACCACTGAGGTGCTCTGAGCACGTCACTGTCCCCACACTCCTGTTCACCTTGGTGATGGACTAAACGCAGAGGTCACATTTGGTTGTGTGCAGTGGAGAGCTGGGTACAAGTAGTTCACTTTCCTTTAAACCTCTTGCAAAGCTCAAATAAAAGTATTTTAAAGACATTTGAATAGTGCCGAGCAGCTACAGCAGCCTTCATATTTGACTTTTAAATTCTCTAGTACTTATCTGAGGTCTTTAGTAGCAGCCACATGTTTTCTCACCTCACGTCCGCTTTATGAATTTTGAAAGTGGAAAAAAATCCACAAACACTCCATGTTGGTGATGTTTTGTCAAATTATATTTCAATAAATATTAATATTTTCTAATGTACTTGTACTTATTTGCCGGAAAACAAAGGTGGAAAAACATGGAGTTATTGTTATTTACAAGTAAATATGTAATGATTGTACTGGTCCGGCCCACTTGATGAGGTTGTATGTGGCCCCTGAGCCAAAATGAGTTTGAGACCCCTGGTCTATGTACTATATATGTCATATCCCCCTACGGCCTGATTCTTATGGAGCAGTGCACTGGGTTCTTCTGTGAGCAAAGGTCAACAAATAATGTATTACTTTCTAGTTTCTACTTTTTAGTTGGTTAACTTTTAAAATCAATTGCAACGTAAGCACAAGAAGCGGTGTTTGCAGTATTAAGTTGGCTCCTATGGGGAAAGAGGGAAAAACACCACTTTACAGACGACTCCAACTGTTTTGGGGAAATCAGTGCCAGACAGATGTAGTGACTCAACACTTTTCCATTAAGAGGAAAAAGAGGATGTGAAGCAATCTGGACACTCGCTGTGGAGGATAGTGGAAATATGTGAGAGCCGTTCATGATTCTTCTAGAGTGCTCTGCCCATTTTACCCTTTATTGTTATTGCCTTTACAGTATGTACTATTCAAGTGTCTGTGTGCCAAAGTCTAGCCCTCGAATGATAAATGCGCTGCCACTGCTTCATGTATTGTGAAAGCTGCAGAGGTTGAAAAGAGGTTTCAACCTCCTGTTGGATTACACAGAGCGAAGAGTGTACCAGTGACACGTATAACGCTGACTTGTTGGGAAAAGGAATCAAATGAGACTATTTCGGTGAGCTTGAGGTTTGAGGCAAGCTGAATTCTTCAGTGTTGTCTTTTTGCCATCTTCAAATGCAAATCTCATAAGGTGTCAAGCTGCCTGAAAACAATAAAAATAATTAGGTTTGTTTGCTGGTCCCCTGTGGGTCGGTGAAAAGGTAGTTAAACATGAAACACGAGTTGTCTGACTTTTTTATGCAAAAAAATGGATATTCACAAAGTAAAATGAAATATAATTACCGATCAGTAATGTTTTGTGGAAAAAAATTAAAAATTATTCTAAATTAAATTAATTTGATCACACAATAACTGAGCCAAAGACCATGCTGGGAGATAGGCAGGATGTCTGCTTCTACTAAGATGCTGATGATGTAAGTTCAAATCCAAGGTATTTGGAAAGGAAAGGAAAATGAACACATTGTGACACAGCACACCACTGCACTCAATGAAGTGTGACCTCTGTTTTTAACCGTGTGTGGGGGCAGTGCCATGCTCAGAGCACCTCAGTGGTAAAGTGGTAGCTCCTGGTGAACTCGAACCCTCCAAACCCAAGTCCGCTTCCTTAACCACTAAGCCACCACTGCCCCTTTGAATTCATCCTGACAGCTAATACCACAAAGACACTATTCCTGAGCCTGTTTGTTTTGCCGTTGATGGTTGTTTACCTCCTTGTTAAAAGCAGCATGTTGAACGGCTGCTGCCCTGGACTTGATAACCGACAGCTGTTCAGTGTGGTCAGCAAATGTTGGTATTACAGGGATGAGTGGGATATATATTGTGGGCTAAGAATGCAGCCGTGTGGGAGAGCAGTGCTGAGAGTCAGGGTGGAGGAGTTCTTCTCACCAAGATTAACACCTGCAGGCAGTCGGAGAAAGCGTTCGACCCATGCACATGTGGTAGGAGGAAGGGGAAGTCCAGTGAAGCAGAGGAAAAGCTTTGGGAACTATACCTAATGTGCTTGAAGCTTAATTGCAAAATTACATTAAGGTTTGTTGTTGGTTGTTACAACAGCTCATGACACGGGTCTCATATCAAGCATTGGCTGCTGGTGTGTTTTTCCCAGAGACACGCTTAATTTGTGCAGCACAATATCTAGCACATTCTATTTATTCTATTTTGGAAAACACAACCATAATGTGGTTGGCTACATAGGCTTACAACAGATGTACACGGCTCGGACCAGCACATTAAAATTTCTAAATTCCCTAATGTTTTTTTTTTGTAGTACACAGCTGGTGACACACTTTCCAGATATGCTACAGTAGTTACATCCCACTGCTGTTGTAGGCAGAGACCGGGGTATGTCGCTGTCACTGCTGTCCACTAGGTCCACTTGATGCCTTCTCTTCTCTGCCGGCATGCTGCAGACCGCCTTTGCTGAGGCCATAGTGTCGCTGGTCACGGTTAAGTTGAGCATTTAAACATAGGTATCGGATCAGAGAGGCTTTAGGTTTTTGTTGATGTTCGATCCTAAAATTTTGATCAATATCAGACTGATGCCATCCCTAGTGGAAAGCAGCTTTACTGTTGTTTTTTTTTTTTTTTTTACTGCACCAACTGCTCAAAGACAAAGACAAGAAGTGAAGAAATGTAGGTGATATGCATCCTGAGTTTACCAGAGTTGACCAGCAGAATCCACATCCTGTAGACACATGGCCATTGTTTTTACAGCTTCCTGTGAAGCAAAATAAACATACTCACATGAGTGTTTGTTGACACATGCACGCCCTATGTCGTGCCATAGTAAATGCTGGTCTCAGTTATTGTTCTGGATCTAATATAAATATACAGCAAATAACCTTTAATTTGCCAAATGTAACAAGAAGTTTTTGGGTTTTTTTAAATACTCCATGTAGGTCAACAATAAACCTGTTTGGCGTTATTTAACCTCTCTGATATTTACTATCTCACAATAAGAAATGTTGGAAAACTATTGCAGTAAGTTTTTTTTTTGTTTTTTTTTTTACTTTTGTTATTGTTTTAGTTGTTAAAAGATTCTGAATGTCACAAATGTACTTTAAACTCATTAAATATATATTTGATGATTGATGATATTAAACTATAAAACTGACAGTGTGTGAAATGAATTTCTCCAGAAAAAAATGTATCATGGTTTAATAAATATATGATCTCACGTCTCCAATCCACTATTTCTAAAGATTCTTGTCTGTAGCCTGACAAACCACTGTTCTGTTTAATGTCACACTCCTGTCGTCCTTTGTAATCTGCTTGTGCTGCTTGAGTCGGTGAAAAATCTTTTCAAACAGCAGGAAGTACAATTTAGTTCTAGTCTCTTCCAACAGCAGCAACTTTAAATCTCACTCTTGATCCAGAACATTGTTCAGAGAAAATGACAGAAATAATCCAATTTCATTTAATTGATTTAAAAAAAACATTTGTTTATTGCACATATTTTATCTTGTTTGTCTATCTGGCAGTGACAGGCAAAGCAATGAAATAGCCCGCCACCTGTTGGCAGCAGATATAAAACTCTGAACTTATGTTCTTTTTTCAATTCCTGCTAGAATATCAGCATTGTGTATAACTAAACAGGAAATAAAAATTTCAGAAATTTAATTGTAATGTGAAATAAGGTTAAATTAAATATAAACTAAAAATTGACCTTGACAACTGTCTGATTGAATTTGTGCTCATTCCAGGATATAATGATGTGCGACTTTTTCACAGAGCCAATAAATAACAAAATTAAATGCACCAGCCAAGTTGAATTAAATATTGGTACTAGCCCAGAATTTCACAATCGGTGCATTCCTACTATTTACCCATGTTGCTCCTCTTGCTTTTGAAATAAATAAATAAATAAACGGTCTAAGTGCTTCATCAAGAAAAAGACTAGTTTGTAGAATAGTTTATTAAAAATAATTATTTTTTTCTTTAACCCTCCCGTTGTCCCTTGCATTTTTGTGCACACCCTTCGTCCTTGCAATGAATTTTCATCTTGTCCCTGAATATGAGCATGAATAAAAAGGAGTAGAATTTGGCACAAGCCGTGCAGTATAGGAGCATGTACACTCACACATACTCACACACACCCACACACACACAAAGGCCCATTTGGTCTAGGTCATTGTTTTCCAAAGACTGGGTCACGACCCTTAGGTGTGTCGCAAGGGTTTTTGGGGGGGGTTTTGGGTCGTCTCGCATCGTGTTTCCCAGGAGGTTATGAATAATGTCTATTGACTACGGCCGTGAAGGTTTGTGACTTTTAAAATATGGGTCCCCAGAAAAAAAAGTTTGGGAAGCACTGATCTAGGTGATGCGGTGGACATCTAGACCCGAAGGACTGCACAAGGTTTAAAAACCTAATGTTTTGTGCACGAAAAATTGAATAAAAAAACTTCAACACCCATAATATATATATATATGTATATATATATATATATATATTTATCCTTAATCTGGAGCCCCTTCTCCAATCAGTTTGACAAATGACCAAGTTTGTCGTGAAGAGTTAGATCTGAGTTTCCATTTCTTTTCCCTGCACCCTCTTCCTGCTCCATTCTGCCAAATGGAAATTTAAGCACATGGCAGAACACAGCAAACAAATCCATGCATCACTCCCAAATGGGGGAATGCTTTCCTTAATGACCAGCAGAGGACTTCAAGTGGCAGCTTATATATTGCTTCATGTCTGGGATCTGTCATCCTGCCTCTTACAAACCCACACACACGCATTTATATACACACAGTTGTTATGTAGAGAGAGTGAAGCATCCTCCATCTCCTGAATTTTTAATAAAACCATTTATATGAGAAAAAAACCCCACTTTCTCTGTCT